CCGTAAAGATTATTTGCGTCTATCGATAGAATATAATTATGAGGTTGCTTTTTATCATAAGTTTCTGGTATTAGGGGGTTATTTGCTTTTGCGAATCTTTTTCCCGCCAAACTTATTCCCCCCTAATACCCCCTTCTATAAATAAGTACATATCGAGATCGTTAAATAATTCTAATTGGATTTTTGTCATTTTTAAACCGCAGTTCCATGTTAAATCGGGTGTAGTTATAAAATATACAGGATCTAAATTATAATATGTTAAACTTAATTTTCTAAATTTTTGGAATATGTCCGCTAATAATAATGTATCAATGTATTGGTATAATTTTAAATAGTCTTTGAAAGTTTCACAGTGAAATTTTTTCCAAACTAATTGAGCGTGACTGTAATCCTCATCTGTAATATGCTCTCCTGATAATTCGTTATAAAAACATTTTTCGGGGGGCAGCTGCATCTCATCTAATATTCGTTTGCTTTTAAAATAGGAATATGGAAAAACCCCTTTTCTTTTTAATAATTCTTTATATTTGCTATTGCGAAAAAAACGATTAAAAATCGGAAAACTATAATTTGCATTTTTAAGATTGTCTGTTAAAGTAGAAAGAGAAGAATTTAAAAACTGATAACTATCAATAAATTTAAAATAATCTAATGAAAATGTTGTAAATTTTTCTGAATTTATGGGAATAATTTTAATTTCTTAAAATAATTTTGAAGGAATATTTTTAAAAATTAAATGCGAATCATAGCCTAAAAAATTGTGCAATATAATTGGAATAAATGTTTTTAATCGGTAATTTAAATTACATTTATTATGGGCTTACTGTCTAAAAAATCCTGTTTCATGATCGTGATCCATTACATGGATATCATCATCATCAAATTTTTGGTTACAAATATGACATAAATGTCTCGACTTATTAGAAACAGTATTTATTTAACTTCAACATTACGACTTATTTTACTTAACAAATTATTCAACTCTCTTTGGATATCGGTTAAAAACTTATTAACAGCATTATTGCCAAAATAGAAATCAGCATATATTATTTTATCTTCGTTTTCAATACTTATAATAGAATAACATATAGTTTTATGAATTTCAATAATTAAAAATAAGTTTCTCTAATTGTAATTCTTGTATCTACGTTATAAAAATATGTTAAGATAAATAACTTTAAACGTTTAATTATATCAGCAGAGTTATTTGGATAAGTTTTCTACGGAAATAAATGTTAAGAAAATAAAATACTTAATTTTGATTTAATATTACAATGTATTTCAGATAAATATCACTGACAATTACATCTGGAACATATTACATGTGGAAAATCTGAAATTTTTGAATTATATGTATAATCCAAATATAACTTCTGTGCTACGTAAAGTGTTGGTAGAATAATGCTAGTTAAATTCAATTACTTTTTATAAGTGGCATAAGTTAATAAGTATTTTTTTTATTTTTATAGATACATATATGAACCTATTGGAGCTCATGCATATTATTCAGAGAGGAATTTTGGTGGAAGATTAGGTAACATTTTTCAAATTTATAAAAAAATAATTAAATTAATGAGAAAATTAGAAATAGAAGTAATAACAAAGTCATTCGCGTAACTTTTTCTTTTATAAATAATATATGTACTGCGAAAGAATAAATTAGATTTTCAGTCTTACTAAAAATTTCGGTTATTGTACGATGACGCTTCTGCTAGTTTTAGATTCCATAACAACAAAATCATTTGTAAAAATTAAATTTCAATTAATGTCGGTTTAATGTTTATGTATTCTAATATATTCCCAAATAAAAGTAAAACTGCCATATTAAACAATCAAACGAAGAGCCGAATCAAGTGGAACTCTGTTTTCACAGTCAAAATAATTTACAGTCGACCCCCCTATAAGATCATAGATACGTTCCATTTTTTAGGAATCCGATTTCTTACGAGTCGTTCCAATCACAGCCCGACACGAGTAAAGTTTACGGACTACGGCTGATGAAAGGTTTTCTTCCATAAAATTAATCGATTCTAGACTAATCCAACTCAACATTTCCAAAATACGTATATATTTTTTGGAAATAATCCGTATAAACTACGCTATAAACAAAAAATTGTAGGATTACTTACCGAGTATGCACCATTCGACAACCCCATTGCTAAAGCTTGTTTTCGTCACGAAGCAGCACACCAAACCACGGCCGATTTCTAACAACTTATTTTTCTGCGAAAACTTCGTTGAACTTCGGAGACATCATTAATATAAATAATTTTAATCGCCGTTGAATAAGAAATGTTTCTTTCACAAGAAATGTATAAAATTACAGTACTGTATTAGACTTACGGTACCTAATTTACATACTCTACAGACGATAGTTAGCGTAAAAATCTCCGTAGCGTGGCACCACGCTAGACGGCGGAAATTATATATTTAATTATAACAAAGTTACAATAAGTTAATATATAATTATATGTACAGTACCTAATTTATATATAATTTATATAATACTGTCCAGACGATAGAAATCTCTCCGTAGCGTGGCGCTACGGACGGCGGGAAAGTAGTACGGCTGCCCGATGACGTTTAACGTAATTATAGGGGGTATTTTACTGTTTTTTACAGATACAGTCACAATTTTTCGCAGTTTTATAGGAATCGTAATTATTGGGACCGTAATTATAGGGGGGTCGACTGTATCTAAATCAATATATAAAATTACTTGTCCTGAATGACTGAGTCACTGATTCATCATTGCCAAGAGCAAACCGCTGAACCTAAAGAGGTGAAATTTGGTACACAGTTAGGGTACGTCAAGTAAACTCACACTAAGAAGGAATTTTTCGAAATTCCCCCGCGGGGAGGAGAGGGAGAGCATTAAGGTTTAACCGGAAGAACGGCTCTACTATACTATTTTAGATGCAACTTTTTGTTTTTAACTGCGTATTAGTAGGATACACCATGGGAATGCACACTAATAGAGAGGTTGCGGCCGACGTTTTCAACGCAAAAACGTGTGTCGGACGTTCAGCGCCGCCTTCCTGAGCCTAGAAGTGTGGGTTCCCAGATGAGGTACGAATTCGAGTAAACCGTGAAATTCTTGCGCGACACAAGATGTAAACAACGAGACTCGGAACTGTTCGAGTATGTGTCAAATTATCTGTCAAGGTCTTAGCGGAAGACAAACTCTAACACGAGCGAAAATGTTGGCCGAGATAAACCTTTTCGAACAAAAAATAAAGGGAAATTTTTGATAGATGAAAGATGAAAATGATTGTTAAATTTTTACACGTAAAAAAATGGTAAACAACGGCCTGAGTTATAAGTGCAGGTGTTATTGTTTTATAAACAGTCAGCGAGCAGAGTCGACAAAGAGGTATCAGATGGACACCTCAAATCGGACCTTTCCCGCGACCCGAAAAGGTTTCGTCTTGCACCTGCAGACAAAAAAGAGACCAATCGGGAAGCGAGGAATGGGACGAGGGACCAATCCGAAATGAGAATAGTGGGGGAAAAAACTATAAAAATCGGAACTTCAAGGGTGGAAGGAAGTCTCCTCTGGATTAAGCCTACAGTTGTGCTTTGTCTATTGTGTTGTGCCACCTAGGACGATCACCTAGGACGCCGCAGCTTAACACCGAACGTCTACATCAGAGGTGTCCAACCCGCGGCCCGCGGGCCGCATGCTGCCCAAGGCAAGTTCCAATGCGGCCCAATAAACGTGTAAACAAAACCGACAAATGTTTAATTTTTTTTATTATTTATTTATTTCAACGGCATAAACTCAGAAAAGAAATTTCACAAAGCCATAAACCTTTATTTATATTTTAGATTTGAGTGGAAATGAAATATTTTCATGTACTTGGAGATGTGTGAATGAGGAAGGATTACTAAATAAAGCTGCAGTTGTGACTCAAAGGATTATAGACCCAAATTTGGCGAAAAAGGAGAGAAAGGACAAAAGATAAAAAGTTGTCAGAAAGGTTAAATAGTTCTTCTGTTAAGCAAATATTGAGTCTTAATTTTCCAACCTTTCTCACTTCTTTATCTTTTGTCCTTTCTCTTCTTTTTGCGAATTTGGCTCTATAATCCTTTGAGTCAAAACTCCAGCTTTATTTAGTATTCCTTTCAGCGTTGCAAGATTTGGCTACATTGCGCCAAAT